CAGGACAAGCAGGTAGCTACCATATTTTTCCTTGTATACAACCCCCCCAATGTATAAGACGACCCCCTAATTTTGTCCCTTGCCAGAGGCGGAGGAGCAGTCAATGGGCAGCCCCAGTGTGGCTGCTCCTTCGCCTCCTACTGCCTCCGCCGCCCGATTGCCTCCTCCAATGCAACTGCCAGGGCTCACCTCCAGCTCACGTTGCTGCATTGTCTCCTGCCCAAAGGGAGCCTGCGAATGGCGCTGGAGGAGGCAATTTGCCACTGGCAACAGCAGTCTATGGGTAGCAGCGAGAGGTGGCTGAGTGCAGCTGCTCCTTTGCCTCCATCTCCTGCTTCTGCTGCCTCCACTGCCAGATCGCGTCCTCCTGCGCCACTTGCGGGCTCCCTTCAAGCAGGGGACAAGGTGGCGACATGAGCTGGAGGTGAGCCCTGGCAGTTGCACTGGAGGAAGTGATCGGATGGCGACAGCAGCAGTCAATGGGCAGCCGTGAGAGGTGGCCGAGCACAGCTGCTCCTTTGCCTCCACCTCCTTCCATGTATAAAACGACCCCCAATTTTTCCTCTAATGATTTTAGAAAAAAATGTCATTTTATACATGGAAAAATATGGTATGTTAGTCTGTAACATCACCTTTAGGACTTGCATGTTTTATTTAGAGTACGCTCTTGCAAGAATATGATTCAAATCCCTTGCCGCCCAAACTACCCAGAGGTCTTGCAAGAATATCATTCAAATCCCCGCCAGGCCATGGAAATTGACTGGTAGTGGTGGTACTACTAGTAAAGCCATTCCTTAAGTATCTCATATGCCTTGAAAGCCCTATTAGGGTCAGCGTAAATCAACTGTGATTAGACCACACATAACATACACATGTAGACTAGAGATCACTTCTTCAAATACATGTAACTCTGCTTGTTATGGATTTTGTGAGATTCCAAAGAAAAGCCAACACACAACCTATGTTAGAAATTACGGCCCACATGAAACAAAAAGGCACAGAAAGAGGCATGTTCCTGGCACCAAATGTGTTGTTGAAGCTTGTGGTCCCTTCCATAGCCTGGGTTATGCAACACTTCCCTCTGCTGGGCAAAAATGGCTTTGTGAGAGCGGACCTTGAAGGAGCTCTCCATGCAGTCTTACTGGAAGATGCTATTACCCATCCCATATATTTGAGGAAGTCCCCGAAGATCCATGAAAGTTTACATTAACATAGAACAGTCTTTAAGATGTCACAATGTTTTCATCTTTTATCATTTTTTTCTTTTTCTCTTGGTTTGCCTTATATGCTTGCACAGAACAACATGGCCACCTCTTCTAAAACTGGAAGATACTCGTGTTGGTTCTTCCACACTAGTTTGTTCAGTCACTTTGTGCCCCAAATCCTGCAGCTCCAAATCCCTAGCTGCACATGACCATGACAACATGACTGAAAGCCATTGATGAACCCGTCCTCCAAAACTCTGTGTCTCTTCCCTTTGAAACCACCTAAGCCAGCAGTCATACCTGCCATATAGTGGCAGCAAATTCTGTTACATTTGAGCATAATTGCTCCAGACACAACTCTTAAACATAGAGCACATTTTGTTCAAAGATAATTATGTATCTCTGTGTTAACATTTCACATAGTCTGCTTTCTAGATTATATAAACTGGCAATCACTACATGTATTTCAGTTTTGTCCACATATTTGGTTTTCTAATTTTTTTAAAAAAATTATTATACTAAAAACAGCATACACCAAGGCAAAAACACTTCTACACTGTGTTACATTAGTTCATTTTTCTTAAATATATTACTTCACCCATACCACCTTTACCTTTAGGTTCTACTTTTAATATTCTTACACTTCATTCTGCCCACTTTCCCTCCAGAAAGACTCTTCTTTTTATTGCAGGTTTTTCTTTGGATACATTTTTTGTTTTCTAGAACTGAAGGCTTGCTATTTATGGTCATGTTGTTTGTTTACCAAGCATTGTTAATTTATTTACAGCTAACAAAATTACCTTACCAAGTGAGTCTTATTTATGTTATACAGTGGGGCCTCGACTTATGAACAACCCTACTTATGAAAATTTTGAGTTACAAAAAGCTTCGACATACGAAAGAAAAAAGGCAAGGGAAAAGGGCGGGAAAATTAAATTTACTAACCATTGGTGGTGAAGAGGCTGCTTCTTTGTCCCCATGGTTAGGAAAAGGGAGGCTCAGCCTCCCGGGCTTCCAACACTGCCCCAACCGCTGCGCTGGGTGCCGGTGCTTTGGAGGTCTGGGAAGCTGGTACCCGGGGCTTCCAAAGCCTGGCTTCCAAAGCTGTCCCCACTGTCCTCTGCCTCCCACTGCAGGAGGCAACGGGGGCGGGAGGCAGAGGGCAGCAGGGGCAGCTTTGGAAGGCAGAGGGCAGCAGGGGCAGCTTTTATTTTTGGTGGAGTGATTTTTTGTCCTTTGGCCGGAATGGATTAAATGGTTTTCAATGCATTCCTATGGGAAACAGTGCTTCGACTTACAAAATGTTCCGAGTTACGACCACCATTCCAATACGGATTAATTTCGTAAGTCGAGGCACCACTGTATTTGGGTGGGAGGTAAGTGAGAGGGAGGGAGGGAGAAAGAAGCCCCCTCTGCAGCTTCCCCCCCCAGGGACCACCAGAGCCTATTGGAAACACATATTCCAGAAATAAATTCCATCTTTTTAGAAAGTCATTGCTTTCTGATAAACTTCTTAATTTTATTTTACAAGTCAGTTTATCATTAAGTGACATATTCCACATTACTCTGTACCATTCTTCAATATTAATTTGGTTGTCACTTTTCCAATTATTTGCAAATAACAACCTTGCCACTGTGACAATTATAGTAATTAAGTCCTTCACTTCTCTCTTCAGTTGACTAACATTAATCATTTTCAATAAACCAGTCAACGAGAGCATTTGAATATCAAATCCAGTAAATTTCCCTAATCTTTTTAAAGACTTGTGTCCATTCTTTTATCCTTATATCACATAACCACCACATGTGCAAATATGTCCCTTTTTCTTTTTTACATCTCTAACAGAGAAATGATAAATTCTTATTTAATATATTAATCTTTACTGGTGTTAAATACCATCTCCAATAATAATTTTCTTTAACCTCTACGGACATATTGTTCATAATTCTTTTGCTCCACAATTTACTCCAACCGTCCTCTATTATTCCATTCACCACATCTTCTTGCCATTGATCTTTTATCCCATGTGCATCCTGACCAACTTGTTATTGCTTCCGATTTCAATTTTTCAATAATCTCTTCAAACTTTGTCATTTTTCTACCCTTTCCTTCCTTGCTTTTCTATTCCTTTGTCCGCTTTTCTATCTGAAGTGTATTTAACCAAGAGTTCCCCACTCCTCACAATACTTTTTATATTTTCTCTATCCTTCACCTTTTCCACCCAAACTTTTACTCTATAGTATTTACCCCTTTATCCTTTAATACATTTTAAATACTTTTTAAAAAAGTTTTCTGGAAAAAAATTATAATTCTACTATTTGGGTAGTGGGGAAATTGGTGCACTCAGTATTCCTCTATATTTTTTCCAACTTTCTAACATATTTTTAAGGAAGGGATGAGCTGTTTCCAAACTTTTCTTTCAATAAAATACCCTCTAAATTTTCTTCCTTTTCATACAATTCTATGTCTTTCTATATTAATTTTTTATTTATTTATTATAACATCTGGGATATGCCTAGGTTGATTTGCTATATAATTTAATTTAATACCGGGCATACCAAGACCTCCTTCTTTTTGTGATATTAATCTTATTAATCCTTGCTCTTTTATTACCATTATAATAACTGTTTATCATATTCTGCCATTCTTTCAAGTGTTTTTCAGTGATCTTTACTGGAAGCATCCAAAATATAAAATTTAATTTGGGAATAAATTTCATTTTACATAACGCAACACTACCAAACCAGGAAATCTTTAACTTTCGATATTATTTTATTTGTTCCCTTATCTCTCTCTTCAACTTATCCCAGTTACTTTTGATTATATCTTGTAATTTATCCTTAAATATTTAATTACACTTTAATTTTTCTTCAAATTTCATTCTCACTTTCCTCTTTTCCTCTTCAGAATGATTTAACAGTAAACATCTTGACTTTTCCTAGTTTACCTGTCCACACTTTCATCCCCATCTTTCCCCAATCCATTTTTCTTACATGCCATCAAAATTTCCTAATATTTTACATTCTAAGAAGAAACATTATTTAAATGTTTGAATGACCATAAAAATTCATAACTGTACTAAATAAGATGGTCTTTATAAATGAAACTGATGATACTATCACGCCCCTGTCTTATTCCAGAAGACAGGCCCATAATTAACATTAAAGTTTGTTCAATATAAAGAAAGTGAGAAGTGGAGCCTCCAACATACACAGAGGTAGTCCAGAATTTAAGAACACCATTTAGCAAAGAAGCCCCACAGAGGCTCAGAGTAAGTTGGAAGGAGCCTATGAGGCCATTGAGTCCAACCTGCAGCTTAGTGCACATCCCTCAGCAGATCTCCCTTCCTAATAAATGGGCAATTAAATTAAATTCACAAGATATGAAACAAATACAGAACTACTAGCTTCAGATTTAGAGACTGCAAAGCATAAATCATACACAGAGAGAGAGCTTATTATTTACTACGTCTGTTATCACCACTGAAATGAATGACTACAGTAGTATTTCTCCAAACTCTGTGCTCACTAAAATTAGGCAAGAAACCACAGGGACTTCAAGAAATCGGAATATGTCTCATGTCAATCCTGAGTTCCCATAAAGAACTGACACAGGTCTATTTATTGAAAAAGCATTAAAAGAGAGGATAAGACAGCTGCTCCTTTCTACCCCACCCCACCCCATTTGACACCAATTTATATGCACATATAAATTGGTGTCAATTTTTGCTGCAAGAAGTGCTCCATACCCTGTAACAAATCAAGTACCCTCTTTTCACTGCTGCCAATTCCTACCTGTGAGGATGGAGACATTGTGGAAACAACTGTCCAGCTTGCCAAGAAGAATGGAGAGGAAACTGTCAGATGCCAGTCCATTGGCATCCCTTGTGCTCTGGTCATAGACTACCACATCTTGGTGCTTTTCCGCTTCCACCTGCAAAAGAAGTACCACAAATAAAGTCTTAAGAGCAGATACAAATGCTAAACTTTCAGTGTTGCTATCGCAAAAACTTTCAAACCAATAAGAAAATCAGCAGATTTAATCTCTTCACTAGAGCCTCCAAGGCGACCACAGTCCCCCCCCTTTCCTTCATGTGCCTTCTCTTCATTAATAATAAGGGGAAATTCAAAGTAAGAGAGGGATGGATAGACACTGGTAAGTTGCTGCAGGAGGTGCCTCAAAAATGTTTTACTGTTGGTTCTGTACAATGAAAGCATATAGAAAGGTTGCTCCCATCACATGTGATCAGATACAGTAAAATGTCTCCCTGAAGCAGTCAATTCTTTGTTATCATGAAAGCACAGCAAATGTGGGTTTTTTGTTGTTTGGTTTTGTTTTTTGTGCCTCTTTTGGCTTTTCCCCCTCTCCTTTGGCCCCCACTTCTGCCAGGAAGTAGAAGAAAGGCTTGTAGCTTTTTTGCATGGTTGGCCATCAATGTCAAAATAACTTGCATTATTTTAATTACAGTACTTTGTTTCACAGAACAGACCTTGGCTGAGAAGGAGGATAGGAAGAATGATTCAGGCCAGCCCTCTTCAAATATTGTTGAGCTAAGCCAGGTGAGGTGCCGACAAGCAGAATAAAACAGAGAACACAGGTCTAACAAAACACAGCAGCTGGACACTCCAAAATATATTAACAAGACCAGTTAAGGTCCTGACTTTGCAAACGTTTGTTTTTCTGTGCATCACTGCATGACAAAGAATATTAAGTAGCCCAAATATGAATTGATGTTACTAATGATGGAATGATAATAATGGAAATACTTGATCAGAAGATCAAGCTTTCTGTTCCCACCTTATCAACATCACATGAATTCAGTGGATAGAATCCTGTTGCTTAGCGTAGTGAGTTGCAACTAAAGTAGTGAGTTGCAACAAAATTCAGTCAATTGAACCAATAGAGAAAGTGACTCGCCAAATCCCCACTGAATCAATGGGTCTAATCTAGCTGTAACTTACTACACTACGCAACAGGACTTAAGTCAATAATTAGTTATGCAGGCATATCAGTCTGATGTAGAAGAGTAAAGGAGAGTGGGAGAATGAGGGCAATGGTATTAGGGGAAACATGCATTCAGTTCTGTTACGCTGTGCTTAGGGTCAGATGCAAAATGATACAAGGACTAAGGGATTAAGCTAAATGTTTCAGAGAGGATGTCGTCTGGGAATGGAAGGTGGCATCAAATAGCTATCTGAAGGCAGTTTCAGGCAAGAGGCTTCTTTTGTTTTTTACTGCAACAGACTGACATGGCAATCTATTTGCAGATTGTGATTACAATCACAGAATTTATGGCTAACGCCAATGCTACAATTAAATGTCTGTGGTAGGAGACAAATCACAAATGGCCCACACTTTCTACAAAATAAAGTGTGACACATGAAAATTTGAACATTACCCATGTGAGGCAGAAAGATTATTACAAATTTTCATGAAAAACATGCTTCTCCTTTGCCTGGCTCCATATAATAAGAGAAATATGAAAAGAAATTTCTTACAACACTGTTTATTTGAGAAGTCCAAGCCTGCCATGATAAGTACTCCATCAGAAATGAAAACTGGGAAACTAGGACTGAAACACAGCTTTGCCACAGTTATGATCTACAGTACCACTTAATTTTTTCAGCAATATCAGAGGAATTATTTTTATTGAATATCCTACAGTCAAAGCATTTTGTTTAAAAATAGAAGCCAACAGTAGTCAATGTCCATTTTTTAACAGCATGAAAAATATCCAAACACTCTTTCAGCATCTTCAAAAGTGGGAACTGGTGCAGTTCGTTCACTGCATCCTGTTCTTCCTCAGGACAGCGAAAATCTTCTTCAGAACAAGAGCAGAAAGCACACGTTCCGGGTACACACATGTACTCTCTTCCCCAAGAGAGCAGAACATCTTATTCTAAGCTGCACTTTGCCATCTGGCCAGCAATCAGCTGCCTCCTCACTCTGTTTCTCACAGGATTTCTGTAAGGCACAAAATGCTGTGAGTCCATGCAGACTAAAGCACGGAATAGAGGATGAACCCCATAGGAAGAACCCCAACGTCAACAACAGAAATAAGCAGATGTATTCAAATGTATTGGCATTAACAGAAAAGAAAGCATGGAATTTGCCACCACCAAGTTTGCATGAGTGCATCATAGACCCTCAAGTAAGGACAAAAGAGATCTCCTCCTAATGAAATGGTGCTGTCTGTGGCATACCTAGGTAATGGCAAGAACAGTGCAGGCAGAGAGTGCATGACACAGTCAGGGGCTGCTAGGCCTAATGAAAGGTTAATATATTAAAGGCTGATAAAATCCTCACAGTGCCATGGCTCAGTGCACCCACTGAATAAGCTGATGGGTGGCATACGCCAGCCTTCCAAGCTGGTGGCCTTCTGCCCTCTAGCGCAAAACACATCTATCATTCTGCTGTCACAGAAAGGCAGCTACAGTGAAGCCAAACTCAGGAGAAAGAAGAGAGAGAGGGAGAGCGAGCGAGTGAGAGAGCACAACTGCCCAGCTGGGGATGAGAAAGGACTAAATAGCTTTTTCCATCATATTTCACATGGCCTCTTAAATGTGAGTCTGAGTCCACTTTAGAAGGTATTTTAAATCAAGTCAATCTTTATAGTGTGCAGACTATTCTTCAGCGTGTCAACCTCAAGATTGTGAAGAAAAGCATTCAGAAAACGCATACACTGTTAACAAAGTTAAATGAAATACAGATTTTCATAAAGAATCCTGGGGACCATAGCCTGCTTTAGATCTGAAAATTCTGTACTAGCAAATTAGGGCTGCTTCCCCCCCCCCCCCGAATTATAGCTCACAGGAATCTTTGGAGAGAAGGACCACAAGATGCAACTACTAAGTAGATTTTATGTAGGAGAGTTGTGCCACTAGACTTTTAATGTCTCTTTTCAAAGACAGAGTGACGCCCAGAGTTTGAACTGGCCTGTGTTGTCCAGAAAGAGGTCTACCTCTCTCCCCCATTGTCAGGCTCAATCCAAACACCTCCTGGAGTCGCTATTGGCAACAGGGAAAGAAAGGTACAGGCACCAATATTTAAGTCTCTCTGTTCTCATCTGCCAGTGACATTTTCAAGGATGGAAGGATTTTCATTTAATTCTCTTGAACATTCCCTCATTCAGTTTCAGTAGTTGACTCCAGATTCTTCCATTATGAGAAGATTCTTACCATCCATCTCCCTCACACTATGCATAATTTTATACATATCTATAATGTCCCCTCAATTGCCCACTGCTCACCTTTTTTTAATGGCCCAAGCCTCAAAATGTTATAACTTCCTCACAGGGGAGTAGCTTCAGCCTCTTCGTCATTTTGGTTGTCCTTTCCTGTATCGATAGCAGGATCCACAGTCCTCTTTTTAAGCAAGTGAGTGGAACTGAACATTCCTGTCTGGTTACACCACAGATTCGTATTGGGAGTTTCTTTTCTTAATAGTCTCCAACATGGAATTTGCCTTATTTGTATCCCCTCCACAGCGAATTAACATTTTTGTCAAGTAATCCTGTCACAAGTTAAGATCTGTTTCCTGATCAGTCACTTCCAAGTCAGATCTCATCCATATAGACAGGAAGGTTTGCCAATTTCATGCCATACTTTCCAGTTTAAGAGATCCTCTTGGAGCTCTTCATTATACATTCCCTTTTCTAAACCACCCAGTTAGTGGAATCATCTGTTTGACTATAAGATTAATTTACTCACAGGGACATAAACCAGCTTCATCAGATGTTGACACAGAGGGAGAAGACTGCAAAAATGCAGACTTACTATCTGAGGATAAGCTAATGCTGCTTCCAGGAACAATGGATTCTCAGGTGTCAAAGATATCATTGTCCACAATGGCTTCTAATAGCACAGATGGCACACTTCAAATGAGCAATTGCTGTAGAACTGCTACAGAAGCCCCACCATCATCTATTCATATTTCCTTTCGTGACTCTTCTGTGAAGCTCCCATTGCTCTACTCCTAGCTTCATGCCTGGATTGTTGGAAACCTATACAAGTATTGACATATACCCTTCTTTCTGGCCAGGAACTAATATGAAGTCTATTGCTGACACTCTGTGTCCCTGAAGTACTGCAGACTGCTACTTCCATACTCTAAAGGGGAGATCATTCTGCAGCAGACCAGCTGTGTAATGTGCATTCCTGTTTGGCAATGTTACAAGAGCACTCATTGCTACTTGGAGCTGATTCCATGCATGGCATTCTGTAAAAAAAGTCTGAGTGGAGCAGAAAAGATGCATTTCCAAGTTAAGCTTCCAAGAGTGATATCAGTAAAGATCTCTTCCTGTTATAGAGACTTTCACAGGAACACCTCCTGATTCTAGAAGCTTCGCTTTCATTGGTCCACAAAAGTACATAATCTCCAAAGAAATGCAAAAACTAAGTTAAGAAAGTACTTAAACAGAGTTTAATACAGGAATGGCTAAAAATGTTTGGATTGAGTACATAGTAAATGAGGTGTAGTCAAAGATCCATAACTTTGGCAAGAGGATCTGCTACAAAAATATAATGCTAAGCTGAGTACATAACCTTTTGGTAAGGAATATGGGTGGATTTTGTGAAAATGGAGAGCGAAATTCAGCTTACTGTGAGATTAAAAAATGAAGAGGCACTGACCTAATTAAGCCACTCTTAGAACAGGGACTTTAGTATATGTCCTATAGCACCTTTCACCATTAAAATGATCAAAGCTAAAACACAGAATTAGGAATCTCATAGAACCAGAACAACTTCTATAGTCCTTAAGGGACAATAAACCATCTAGGCTAACTCTATTCAAACATATGCAACACTGGCACGACCAGAGGGTGCATTAGTTAACTTCATAGAGCATATTGCTCCACCCTCTAAGATAAGAGAAAACTAGATATAGATATATATGTATATAATTTTTGTCATTTGACATTTTAAAACCCTATA